TGTTGTTAGGTACCGCTGTGTCCGTCCCAACCTCAGGGCCTCATCTTCTGGCATCATCTCTGACGATGCTTTCCTTTCTCTTCATGAGGTTTGTTTTCAGGATGTGAAAATGTTTTGTGCTATCCGTACGGTTTTGAGTGACTAATTTCTCAGAAGTGGGCAGCTACTCCTTCTTTGTAGTCTGTTCTTCGTCTGGAAGCTCTGCTGAAATCTGTTCACTTAAGGTGACCCTGCTGGTGTCATAGCAGTGTCATACCAGTGACATAGCTTCCAGCAAATCAGTCAGACACAGGCCACCACCGCAATGACAAACTCAGAGACAAGAGATGCTGGAGAGGCTCAATGTCATCAGTCAGAACAAGGCCCGGGACCAGCTGCAGAAAATGGCTTTTGTGGAAGTGCAGGTTGAAGGTGAAGAAAATGAAGCCACGTTCCGGGAGCCAAAGTGCGCCCATGAGTCTATTCCAGCTGCAGTTAGAGGCTCTGAACACGAATGCCTGAGACCAGAGGCATGGTGGGAGGACATCCAGAACATCCCAATGAAGAAAGCAAAGGCCGTTCAAAAGACATGAAAGTTAAAAAAGACCACACCAGATACTGGAAGAAGTTCTGAAACTGGCTCCTGAATGCAGAACAGCTGAAGCAAATGGGTGAAATGATGATGTAAGACTTCAAGGGATGGCTGGAGAAGACAAGATAATATAATGAAAGTGCAAAAACCTGGCGCAGAAAAGCCCTAAGGGAACACGATGGGCATTGCTAACGAGTGAAAGAGCTGGAGAGAAACGATGCTTTAGTGGATGGCGGGCACATCTGAATAACACTCGTCTGCACAGGATTTCCTTGTATGTGGACAGATGTTACCCTATCACAGACAGCATTGTGTTTCAAGACAGATCTTGAAATGTCCTTTTGGACGATGAACGTGACGCCATTGCAATACTGAAGATTCCACAGGCAAAATCACTGTCTGAACCCTGTTCCCTTTGGGTGACCCTGCTGACGTTTGAAATACCAATGACACAGCTTTCAGCAACACACAAGCCACCGGAGTATGGCAAACTGACAGACAGGTGGTGGACCATAACAAATTATGAACAACCTTGAGAAGAATGGGAATTCCACAACACTTCCTTGTCTCACGAGGAACTCGTACGTGGGTCAAGAAGCAGCTGTGTGAACAGCACAGGGGTATACTGTGTGGTTTAAAATCAGGAAAGGTGTGGCACAGGGATGTATCTTCTTACTATACTTGTTCAATCTGTATGCTGAACAAATAATCAGAGAAGCTGGATTACATGAAGAAGAATGTGGGATCAGGATTAGAAGAAGGTTAATTAAGGGCCTGTGATACAGAGATGACACAAACTTGCTTGCTCAAAGTGAGGAGGACTTGAGCCACTTGCTGATGAAGATCAATGATCACGGCCTTCAGTATGGATTACAACTCAAGATCAAGACCAAAACCTCACAAGTGGACCTTACCTTACCATCATGATAAAGGGAGAAAAAATTGACATTGTCAAGTATTTTGTCTTGCTCAGATCCAAAACCAATGTTCATGGAAGCAGCAGCCAAGAGATCAAAAATGTGTTGTACTAGGTAGATCTGCTGCACAAGACCTCTTTAGAGCATTGAAAAGCAAGGGTGTTCCATTGAAGACTAAGGTGCCCCTGACCTAAACCCTGGTGTTTTCCATGGCCTTTAAAGCTGGACTTGAAGAAGGAAGAGTGAAGAAGAATGGGTGCATTTCAATTGTGGAGAAGAAGATGGAAGGGCTGTTAAAAGGCAAACCTGTGTCTTGAAAGATGTACAGCCAAAGTGCTCCGTAAAGGTGAGGATGACCAGACTGTGTTTTACATACTTGGGACATATTATCAGGAGAGAGCAATCCCTGGAGAGGGACAGCAAACGAGAGGAAGGCCCTCCAGGAGATGGACTGACACAGTGGCTGCAACAGTGGTTCGGGCATGGGAACAATGGTGAGGATGCTGCAGGACCATGCGGTGTCCACTGCGTTATGCACAGGCTCGCTGGGGTCAGGACTGACTGAACGGCACCTAACAGCAATGGGCTAAGTAGTCCACATGCAAGGCACACCAAAAGAAGGAAGACGGAGTCCACAGTTACTGGACCCCAAAGAATGGTCTGACCTTCAATAATTCAGAAAGTAGCACCTGACCAAGAAGTAACGGTGCTAAGGGAAGAATTACAATCTGCATGGAAGGCAATGGTGAAAATCAAGGTTCCAGAAACACATGGAACGTCCACTGAGAAATCCCAACAAAGGCTGCAACACTGGAGCACTAACTTGTCTATGCCAGGAGACCTGAACAGATACACGACCAATCGACTGAAAAGCGATGCATGGAAGGTAATTCAAGAGAATGCAGAAATAACCAAGCAGTGTTTACTATCACATGCACACAGAATCTGGATGATGTAAAGATGACTGTGGCAGTATGTTGACAAGGAATGACCAGAAATTCAAGCCAGATTCAGAAGAAGAAAAAGAATAAGGAACATCACTGCTGACATCAGATGGCGCTTGTCTGTAAGTGGCGAAGACCAGGAAGATGCTCACCTGAGTTTTAGTGGCTACGCAAAGGTTATGCAAGTGTGGATCATGACAAATTA